ACTGGCAATATGAATCAAAAGTCTTTTTAAAAAGAAGTAAGGAAAAGAAGTCAAATTGTCCCTGTTTGCAGATGACATGATTGTATATTTAGAAAACCCCATCATCTCAGCCCAAAATCTCCTTAACCTGATAAGAAACTTCAGCAAAGTCTCAGGATACAAAATCAATGTGCAAAAATCACAAGCATTCTTATACACCAGTAACAGAAAAACAGAAAGCCAAATTATGAATGAACTCCCATTCACAATAGCTTCAAAGAGAATAAAATACCTAGGAATCCAACTTACAAGGGATGTAAAGGACCTCTTCAGGGAGAACTACAAACCACTGCTCAGTGAAATAAAAGAGGACACAAACAAATGGAAGAACATACCATGCTCATGGGTAGGAAGAATCAATATCGTGAAAATGGCCATACTGCCCAAGGTAAGTTATAGATTCAGTGCCATCCCCATCAAGCTACCAATCATTTTCTTCACAGAATTGGGAAAAAAACTGCTTTAAAGTTCATATGGAACCAAAAAACAGCCCGCATTGCCAAGACAATCCTAAGTCAAAAGAACAAAGCTGGAGGCATCACGCTACCTGACTTTAAACTATACTACAAGGCTACAATAACCAAAACAGCACGGTACTGGTACCAAAACAGAGATATAGACCAATGGAACAGAACCGAGTCCTCAGAAATAATACCACACATCTACAGCCATCTGATCTCTGACAAACCTGACAAAAACAAGAAATGGGGAAAGGATTCCCTATTTAATAAATGGTGCTGGGAAAATTGGCTAGCCATAAGTAGAAAGCTGAAACTGGATCCTTTCCTTACTCCTTATACGAAAATTAATTCAAGATGGATTAGAGACCTAAATGTTAGACCTAATATCATAAACACCCTAGAAGAAAACCTAGGTAATACCATTCAGGACATAGGCATAGGCAAGGACTTCATGTCTAAAACACCAAAAGCAGCAGCAACAAAAGCCAAAATTGACAAATGGGATCTAATCAAACTAAAGACCTTCTGCACAGCAAAAGAAACTACCATCAGAGTGAACAGGCAACCTACAGAACGGGAGAAAATTTTTGCAATCTACTCATCTGACAAAGGGCTAATATCTAGAACCTACAAAGAACTCAAACAAATTTACAAGAAAAAAACAAACAACCCCATCAAAAAGTGGGCAAAGGATATGAACAGACATTTCTCAAAAGAAGACATGCATACAGCCAACAGACACATGAAAAAATGCTCATCACTGGCCATCAGAGAAATGCAAATCAAAACCACAATGAGATACCATCTCACACCAGTTAGAATGGCAATCATTAAAAAGTCAGGAAACAACAGGTGCTGGAGAGGATGTGGAGAAATAGGAACACTTTTACACTGTTGGTGGGATTGTAAACTAGTTCAACGATTGTGGAAAATGATATGGCGATTCCTGAATTATCTAGAACTAGAAATACCATATGACCCAGCCATCCCATTATTGGGTATACACCCAAAGAATTATAAATCATGCTGCTATAAAGACACATGCACACGTATGTTTACTGCAGCACTATTCACAATAGTAAAGACTTGGAATCAATCCAAATGTCCATCAGTGACAGACTGGATTAAGAAAATGTGGCACATATATACCATGGAATACTATGCAGCCATAAAAAAGGATGAGTTCATGTCCTTTGTAGGGACACGGATGCAGCTGGAAACCATCATTCTCAGCAAACTATCACAAGAACAGAAAACCAAACACCGCATGTTCTCACTCATAGGTGGGAATTGAACAATGAGATCACTTGGACATGGGAAGGGGAACATCACACACCAGGGCCTATTGTGGGGAGGGGGGAGGAGGGAGGGATGGCATTGGGAATTATACCTGATGTAAATGACGAGTTGATGGGTGCTGACGAGTTGATGGGTACAGCACACCAACATGGCACATGTATACATAGGTAACAAACCTGCACGTTGTGCACATGTACCCTAGAACTTAAAGTATTAAAAAAAAAAAAAAAAAAAAAAAGAACAAACTCTTTGAACCAGGAATTTCACTTTTAAGAATATAACCTAAATAACCACTAATAAGTTCATAAGTCTTAATAAAAATGTTATCTGTTTTCAAGATAGGTGCTCTTTGTACCAACAAACAATAAAAACAAATGTTGAAGAAAAGGCCCAGTTACATTATGAAAACCTCACTTCATGCAATACTTTCTGCCAACAAAAATAATATTTTAGAAGATAACTCAATCTCAGGAAAATTCATAATATATCATTAAGTGGGGAAAATAGATTACAAAAAAATTATAATGGGATGATTCTAATTTTATGGGGAAAAATTAACATAAATATGCATAATTTAAAATGGAAAGAATACACAATAAGATACAGGTAGAATTAAAAGACAGTTTCACTACCTTTATGTTTTTTTCTATGTTTCTTACAAATAAATACATATGAATTTTGCAATCAGAAAAATATAAGAGCTATCAAAAATACATAATGCTCGAGATATAATATTAAATACTGATAACCCATGATTGTATGTATTCCTCAAAGACATAATTTAGGTCATTTTAAAATTTCAGGATAATGAGAAGTAATTTAGGTGGATAATAACTGGCCTGGTTTCCACCAGAATAAAAATGTATGTTGAGTTTTGGCAGTGGTTTATTCAAACTATTTAAATACTACTTTAACTGATTTTTTCATTTTTAAATTAATCTTTATTAGTACATTTTCTGTAGAAGATATTAGTATGTATGAAGAGATGATAATGTAGAATAAAGATAAATTTAATAAGAATCTTATATTTTATGCCCATAAGAAACTCAGAATAACACAAATGAAAGTTCATGTATCACAAAGAATCCAAAAAAAAAGGTTAAAGATTTTGAAAAGGTTAATTTTTCATGTGATTCACTTTTGTGATTTATACATTTCAAGTATCCAAGACTAGTCCTTTTTTTAAATTTTGAATTCAAAATTAGAATTAAATATAAAGAAAGATGGAAAGTGAGGGAGAAAATATACCCTGAAGTACAATAACTCCACATTGAATTATAACATAACAAAATGTTAGTTTTCACATTACTAACAGAAAGCAGGACCCTCATCATTCACGCTGGAAAAAGCTTGCCTTTGTACAAACCGTTTCTGTTCTCACTGTTATAAAAAGGAATGACTTTGGAAAGGGAAGAAAACACAGAATGACGTGCAAAGTAGCAAACACCATGTTATTGCAGCTGGATAGAGAATATGTCACTAATGACTTTCTTTGTATCCATCAATAAGTTGAGTTTCTTTTTTTTCCAAAACAGCAAATGGCCTTTATGAGTACAAAACAGAAGTAGGGGAACTCAAAATAATATCCAGTTTCCACTGGTTGTGATACACAATTTTAGTTAATGCAATGATTTATTAATTATTTGCTGGGAAAAAAGATGACTTCCTTTTCTCTTCATTTGAGTTGAAAATGACATACCTGAAAACTAGGAAATTTTCTGTAGTAAATTCAAAATAACATTTACATTAGATAATTATTATCAAATTTTCATCTTAACTCAGATATTATCCACGACCAATAGGAAGATTCAACTAAAGTTGTTTGATAAATTCAGAAAACTAATGTAACTAAGCACCCAAATCGTTAGTGCCAATCACAGTGATGACTGTCCGTAAGGATTGACAGAGTTAATGAGTGATCACGAATTTCATTCATAATGCAAATATATATACAGCACTTCTTCTCCATAAATGAATTAGCAAGAGTTCCATTAGTAGGCAAAAAGTATAACTCTCGATTGATAAGGTAACTTACTATCTGAATGGATTGGGATAGTTCACTTCTTAATATGTCTAAAAATAATAACATCCATCACATATATTCAAAAGTAAAGATGTTTATTTATTCGCATCTGAGTCAGAGACCATGAAATGCTAAACCTAATGAAATTTGAGCTTAATCAACATAGGATCCTTTGTATATATTAATAATAACCACCAAACTTAAACTCATGAGTACTTTCTTAAGTGCCAGGTATTGTTCTAAGAACTATACATGTATTAACTCTCTTAATTAGCCTATGAAGGAAGTACTTGTATTGTCCTCATTTTAGAGATGAGGATTATAAAACATGAAAAAGGCCGGGCGTAGTAACTCACACCTGTAATCCCAGCAATTTGGGAGGCCAAGATAGGCAGATCACGAGGTCAAGAGATCGAGAACATCCTGGTCAGCCTGGTGAAACCCCTCTCTACTAAAAATACAAAAATTAAGTGGGCATGGTGGCACATGCCTGTAGTCCCAGCTACTCAGGGGCCTGAGGCAGGAGAATCACTTGAACCCGGGAGGCAGAGGTTGCAGTGAGCTGAGATCGCGCCACTGCACTCCAGCCTGGCAACAGAGTGAGTCTCTATCTCAAGAAAAAGAAGGAAAAGAAAGAAAAGAAAAGAAAAAAAAAGTTCAGTGGCTTGTCCAAAGTACTCATCCAGTGATAGAGCCAGGATTTGAACCAAGGTAAACAGGCTTCAGAATCCCCCAATAAACCATTATGTACGGCACATTCTAGAAACATTTTTAAAGGTGCTACAGGCAACTCATTTTGATTAGAAGAAATTCAAAATAATTTGGATTCATAAATTAAGCTATTATTATAATTTTAAGAGGAAAAACTAAGACTATCTTTAGCTTAATTTGTTCATCTTTTGACATAAGGTTTTTATACTTTTTTTGTGAAGTAAATTAATGAGGCAGCATATCCCATAAGTTATATGTTTATAGACTAATACAAAAAGGGGAGAAATTTTTCAGTTTGTAAACATTGCAAGGAATAAAAGCTGAGAAACGTATAATACACTTACCCTCTCAAGTACAATCAAGTGTTAGATGTAAGATTTAGTGTTATGGTACAGAAGATCAGCAAATGCATTGTTACACAAAATAATATAACTGCATTGACATGTTCAATATATTTTATGTTGTACCTTTAATTTCCCCAAGAAGTTCACTGGTATTTAGTCTTTCCATTTTTTCCTTCCAATCTTTTGAAAGTAGTTTTTCCATGCAGGAGGAATCTATTAAAATACAAAAGTAAGTATTAAAAATATATATTTATTACAAATTTAGAAAGTCAGTTTATGGGGAAATTTTCATTTAAGAATGCACAAAGCTGTTTTTGTTGCTGTAGCTTGAACTCCAGGATATAGAAAATTACATTATTCTATAATATGTATTATAAAATACCACCATAAAGTTTATTTTCACCAGATAATTATTTAAACTATCATCTAGGAGAAAAAAGATAATGCTCAATAATTTATTTTAGTATTATAATTCTATTAATATTCAATTCACATTTGTCATTTCTTAGATTGATAGCATATAAAAGAGGGCTCTTTCCTATGAGTTTAACATTACATACTCCTTTTAATCCAGGCAATTTTTTTTAAGTCCAAGCAAAATGTATGTGCTGTGCAAGAAACAATAACAGATATTCAGGAGAGAACAGGCCAATCTGAAACCACTTAGTTCTTAAAAAAGAAATCTAACTTTTGTAAAATATCCAATGAGAGCAAAACAAGAAGAAAATGAAATTAAGATGTTCTCTGACGCCTAGTAATAAAAACTGCTAAAACTTTTCTCTTATGTAAAAACCAATACATATTTTTATTAAATAAATACCTATATAAATACCATTTATTTGCCCTACTGTATTTCTAAATAGCATACTAGAATGCAGGGAGTAATTACACTTGTTTTTATCAAGATTCATAAAGATTACAGAAATCCAAACTTTAGAAGGTTCTGATAATTACCAAATTTTTCTCAATGAGTTATTTCTGCTCTCTATGCAAATGGATTTGCAACTGGCACTACTGCTTACAACTATTTATTTGTATCTTTTAAGCCTCAAATCTTAACAAATAGGTCATGTTTCCAAAAGGGAATGCAGATTTAAATACTAAATCCTTAGTGCAAAGCATACTCCCATAAAACTTTAACATTCCAAGTGTCAAAATTCTGATAACTTCCTTTTAAAATTATATTTAAAACATTTACTCCAATTCTAAATGCCTTTTCTCTCTCATATCAGCACCTATCTCTTTAGTATTTTCCCCTTCTTTTTTTTTTTTTTTCCTCCAGCTTCTAAATCCTCCTTGAATTTTTCAGAATGACAGTAAGGTCAAGATGCATCTAAACGGCTTTAGAAGCTAGATAAGCTTCAGAAAAAGACAGTGAGCCCTGGGCTGAGATGAGAAGACCACTGCATGGTTAGAAAGTATTGGTGAAAAAACAATTAACATTTGTCTGTGACACGATCAATCAATCAAGGAAGGGATAGAATCCAGATCAGCGTGTTGTGAAAACGGCTAATGAAGAACAACCATCCAAACTGGCTATCACAGAGCTAAAGTTCTTTCTAAATAGAAGTCGGCTTGATTTTATTAATGAAAGCTCCTTGCCCATTCCCTTACTTCTTCCCTCCCCTTTTCCTTCCTTCCTACCTTCCTTCTTTCTTTAGTCCATTATTTCCTATTATTTTCTCAGTTTTCAACAAATGATCTACTAGTGTGCTTCAAAATTGGATTCTGAGTGATGTTCCAATGGGGCCTACATGCATGTGCATATATTCAGGTTGTATTTAATTGCTGAAGTAGCCTCTTACTATTTTTTATTCAAATTCAGAAACAAGATATATGTTTTGTTCTATACTATTTTGTTTTTATGCTAAAGTCATACAAATGATAATACTAAGTTAAGAGTTAGGAAGCAATTCTTCAAATCCATGCCTGTCACAGATTACTTTTTCTCAAATCAGGTTTGAATTGCTGAGATTGATTGATATAACATTAGATTATGGATAAGAATAGTCAACAAAAAGTTTTTATTTTCATATCCTACCCAATTTTGTTTTATTACCCTTTCATACATTATATCAGTGCACTAAGCTAATAATTACTGATACAATTACAAAAGCATAACTTTTTTAGCTAAAGTTTGAGTTGACAGCATATATTATAGTAGTCAAAGATAAAAGCCCAATTTATTTGTAATACTAACAAATTCAGAGCAAGTCCATATACTAGGATTAAATGCACGTTAGGATGTAAAACAGGCTAAAATATGTCTCTCATTTTTATAAATAGACCTGAAATCTTTTAGAGCTCCAATAAAAGAATGCTAAAACTTCATGGGAGAAAAAGAGAGCTATACGAACAACAGGAATACACATTTCAAATATAAATCAAATCACGTGGACACAGCTTTATATAAAAGCTACTCATTAATAAAATGGTTGGTAACTTCAAAACGTTTCGCATTCCTATCAGAAAATTAATCCTTACTGCAACGTTCAGTTAATCTAGCTTTATGAGTTCTCATTTCAGTAGAAGAAACTGAGGGAAAAAATACAGCAGCCTTTGCATATCTACATTTTCAGCCATGAAAATATTTAATAGCAATCACTGATTGCCTTTATCTATAGGACAATGAAAGTTACTACATACAAGCTTATCAATGTTTAATCTCAAGACTAGGAGATTCCCGGAAGACCTGTAAGAAAGTCTCTTGACAAATGACTGCATTCTACCCCATTATGTGACTGCCAGACCTCTACAGCATACCACAATTGGTGCTAAGCATTCTCCATGTAATAATGTAAAATAAGTAGAATGAGAGAAGAAAAGCCAAATGAAGTGGATTGTTACTAAGCACTGTATAAGCAGAAGACGCTATTGCTACCACCAAAAGGTTCCTGATTTGAAATGAGAAAATATTTAATAGATACAAAGTTACAAATAAAATTTATGTTTTCAAATTTCTATCTCAAAACAATATCCAGGTATGGGTACAACTTAAAAGTAAGGATCCATTCCCTTTGTGCCACATTTGTCAACTACATAAATGGGATACTAGTATTATAGAGGCAATTGATCAGATCAGACTTTGCCCTATTCTGATCTAGCATAAATGCAAAAATCAGAGTGGTAAAAATAAGTAAAGAAGGCCGGTTTGCATTACATGGAAAGAATAAGATAACATTAAGTGGCTTTAACACAGTAATCACGTAAGATTCCAAATGAAAAAAAAAGACTGAACAGCCCCAAGACACTCTTGGATTATCTTATACACATAAATATATTTTACAAAATTAATTTGAAAACAATGAACTAATTAATTACAATGCTGCCACCATCCTCAAAACAATTTAACAATATCTAGCAAATTTATTATCTGACTTTGACTCTTCCAAGTTTAATGTCTTTGAGTTGTCATCATCTGAAATCAGGAGAGAAAATATATGCTTTTTGGAAATGGGAATAAAGAATTACATTACAGCATGAAAAATGTCACCATAATATGTCCATATTTTTAAAAGACAAATGTAAGTCATAATGCTAAAGTAACATCATGCTAAAGTTGTATTGAAATAGAAAATGCCAAAATTAATTCCTCTTACTTTGAAATAATCTGTTTCCATTAACCAATATATATTCAGTGAAATGCAGGACTTTATCTTCTCTAATTTTTATAAATAATAATGATTAAAAGGGTACTATCAAAAATCAAGAGCTGGACTTCAGTTCTCATCTGTAATTTAAGCAAGGATGTAAACATTTTGATGTATTATAAATTATCACTTGCATTGTTTCTGGTTTTTTCTTTCTCTTTTCAAATTGAAACTTTTCTCTTTCAAGAAATTTGAGAGAAAAGGAAGATAGAATTCAGAACTATTTTGTTTTTAAAATATCATGCATAATAAATTACAAAGCAATGTTTCTGCTTCCTAAGTACTTAGGTTTCAGGCTAGGTAAGTCAAGTATGCTTTATCACAGCTGAGTAATGTTTTTGCTAATTAACTTAGTAATTAATTTTATGATGTAAGAAAAATTAAAAGAAAGAGTATATGAGATATTGATTTCCTAATCTGTATGAAGACATTTGGGGAACAATTTGAATTACTTCTAGTTAGACAGATCTGCAGCAGTATTAACTCCTATACTATACAAAATAAAGGTATTTCAGATAGATTAAAAATAAATAAATTGTCATTAAAGTTAGAGCATGGGGAAGAGGAAGAGACAATGTGACAAATCTTTATTGCACTTTACAACAATCTACCTATAAGCAAACCCTTATTTTACTTTTACCTCGTGATATTTAAACTTAGAAATGCTAAAACACTAGAAACAACATAAAAAAATCTTCAAAATATTTTAGTGAGGAAAACAATTTTTGCTGGCTCTGTGTGCAGATTTTCTATTGCTTATTAACACTTTGAGAAAATGGTAAAGCAATTCCTTTTATTTTTACCATAGGAATCATAAATTTCAAATGTAATAAATTTTTCTATTTATCCAAGAACAATGATAACTTATCAAAAGTATCCATGACCTTGGTTTACAATTACATCCAGCAAAATATATTTATATCCCTACTGATTATCCATCCCGCATTTTTCATTAGGAAACACAGAGTTGCACATGCCAGTTACTGTACATTTTTCCACAGTGGCAAGTGCTCCACAATACAGTGGGATAAAATTGGAACTTGGAGAGCTTGAAGAGCACTCTTAAATTTTAATTAAAACCCTCCAAGCTCACTAAAAATAATTAGACACTAAAATGTGCCAGTTTTATTTTGAAGTCACTATAACGTACAAAGCACACTCCCTGACGACTGCTCATGCTCTTCTCTCTCTCTCCCCCTCTCCCTCTCTCTCCAATGAAACAACTGATTTTCCAAATAAGAACAAGGGGGTATAAATAGAGGCTGTTTTCAGGCCTGCTCTTCACGCTGGGAAGCTGACAGAAAAGACAGCAGAGTGGGTTTTTCAGACTACACCAAATAAACCTAGAATAACTTCCCTAACCAAGAGTACAAATCACTAACAAACTCTAGATAAAATCCAGTCTGCAAGTAACACCATGAGTTACATTACTGATCTTTTTTGATCCAAAAGTCAAACCTTTAACCTCTTAAATGTTTTTGCTATCTTAAAATATCTCATACAATGCTATATTCCATCCTATATTTAGCCAAGCAGCAAGAGAAAGCATGCCTTTCCCATACA